TTCCCTACCCCTCAGGCCCTAAATTCAGTCCATGTGCCCTCACTATTAGGAAAGGAAAGACTTATTTCTCTGCGCAGAGGTGGAGTGGCAAAAACTACTATTTCCTGACTTACCTTAGAAATGTCACTTTATGCCACACCTGGGGCACCGGCCTCTTTCAAATAGACACATATGGAGGAAGGAATGTAGACGTGCTGAGCTAAGGAAGACCTTTACAGCTATACCTCGCTCTTCATGATTTAACTGTTCTCTCATTTGTGGACCTCTTCCAGCTTCCGGGCAGTGCTGTGAAGCAGGCCCAGTGGGCATCAGTTACTTTCACTGATGGAAGATGATACTATTACTCAGGGGGATTAAAAATGGTCCAAGGTGATTCAGTGGCAGAGGTAGGGTGCAAACCCAGTGCTCTGACAGCTTGCTGCCATGTTAGAGAAGCAAATACTTCAAGGTAGATGGCCAGACTCTCCTTCCACAGTGGGATGGGTCTGGACTACTGTCCTATCACCACACCCCACCCCTGGTTCCCCTGGTCACCAACCTGGGGAGCCGTACTCATGCCGGGGCAGGCGGCATATCTTGGGCATGACCTCGATCAGTGTTTTCACATATTGGAGAATGGTCCCTTGGAGCTGACAAAAGAAGAGTACAAGATGAGTGAAATAATCTACCGCTGCTGCATATGTGCATCTTGGGGCTGAACGCTGGGCTACTGGGGCCTATGGAGGTTCTGTTGAGACCCGTGGGTAAGTGCTATGGACTGAATATTTGTATTCCCCCCAAATTCATATGTTGAAACCCTAATCCCCAGTGTGATGGTATCTGGAGATGGGGCCTTTGGGAAGTAATTAGGTCATGAGGGTGGAGTCCCCATGATGGGATTAATGCCCTTATAAGAAGAGAAGGGAGAGAGAGACATCTCTCTCGCTCTGCCATGTGAGGACACAGGAGAAGCCAGCTGGCTGTGAAGTAGGAAGACGGTCCTCACATGTTGCCACTGTGATCTTGGACTTCCAGCCTCCAGAACTGTGGACAATAAACATATGTCGATGAAGCCAAATGGTATATTTGTCACAGCAGCCCTAGCTGCTTAAGACAGTAGGGCAGTGCTCCCTGAGAGGAGAGGCAGGCTCTCTCCCAAAGGTGGAGGTCAGCCTCCTTGCCCTTTGTAAGGAAACATTGGCCTTTGTAAGACAGAAAAGGAAATGCTCTCAGTGCTCCCTTGGGCTTATAGACTTCAAGGAGGGCAATTTCTAGGCATGGGGTCCCTTCTGGGGTTGGAGTCCTTACATGAGATCCAAACTAAGATCTAAAATGAAATGGGGCCAGGGAGCTATGAAGACTGAGACAATATCTAATTTAAGCATGGAAAATTCATGGCACATTCATCCCTCCTGTGTCCCAGGCAGACACCGTTAATCAATTACCACATCTTCCTTCTTAAATTTAGCTTCACAACCTGGAACAATCCCTGGTTATACACAGCTGCTACCAGAGGACTGCAGTTAAGAGGTGAATCCTGTTTGCTATTCCTGACATGGATATACATTAATCTAGTTCTCTTTTTTCATCTCAAACTTTTAAGAAAATTTGTTGAAATGTTTCAGTCTTGCTGCAGTGTCCTGGGGAATTAAATGAAGGTTCAGATGGCCATACTTGGGGTGGACATAGAATGGTGGCAAAGGTCTATGGAATTCCCTCGAGGCCAGTGGAGTATTGGTAGCACCAGTCATCAAGAAATTCCAAGGGGGAGAAGCATGGTGATTTATTAGAGATATCTGCCATGGGCATGGGAGGGAAAATGGCAGCACATGTGTCATGGATTTGTCAAGCTCAAATTAGATAATGCAGCACAGGAGATGAGTATGAGCAGTCATTAGTAGGCCTTAAAGTCAAAATCAAGATTGCTGAGTTCAGTTAGTAAGTACTGGGAGTGAGCTCAGCGTCAGAAAAGGAGAGGCAAAGCCACAGGTCAGAAGATGCACTGAAATGTTATAGAGTGATAGGTAAGAGGAATCAGGGGATAAGGGCAAAGGATTCCCTGGGTGATTCCTATAGACAGAGCCGAAGAGCCTGTGACTTGATTTTCCAGGCCAGGTAAAAAGTGAAAGCAAGCCTCATTCCTCTCAACCCTGCTGGCCCGTCCCAGGCCCCCTTCCTTACCAAGCTCTTGACGATCTTCAGCAGTTCCTCCATGACCACAGCGATGCCCTGGTAACCCAGGAGTCTGCAGATGGTCTTGAAATGAGGGGGTCCCACGAAGTTCCTATAGGAGCTGTAGATGTGGCTGTAGGCAATGTTGAGAGGCTGGAAAACAGAGGATGTGGCCAAGTCAGTGGCGGAGAACTGAATGGACACTCTGGGAGTCCTGGCAGGAGGTGTTTCAATCATAGAAAGGATAGAAACTTGATATCCTTGTTCTCTCACTGGGGACCCCTATGAATACATTTTGCAACCTGCTCATAGAGAATGGTGGTCAGTGACCACAGGATCGAGTGAAGGTCATCAGATGGGGCAGCAGTTCCCTAACAGAAGAGGAGAAAGGGCCTCCAGGTAAACGTTTTTAATAGGACTCATGCTACCCACAACTGTCCACACACAAACCAGGACTTTCACAACTGAGCTATGGGATGAGGGTAAAACAAATGACTCCCTTTCTCTAGGGGCATTTTCAATACTAGGAACTGGCTGGAAAGACCATGTGAGAACTCAACAGCTGATTCAACATTGCCTTCTTTCTACTCTGAGGCGCCTCCATCTATCACAGGGAGGAGTCTTGGGGACCAAGAGGCCTGGGAGGCAGGAGACCCCTGATGAGTGCATGGGAAAATCACATTGGCCTTTTGAGCCTCAGTTTCTTCATCTGTGAAATAAGGGGGTTGGATTACAACAGTGGTTCTGTAGCTTTTCGATTAGCAATTAAAACAAAAAAGATGCCACGGAAACAAGTAAATGAAACAGACAGAAGCAGAGTTGCTCTGATTGGGTGCTGGTTGGGGGCCACCTTCATTATCCTCTGGACCCCATGAGACACCATCGCTGAATTAGTGGAATCTCTTTAAGATCTTTCTGTCTGAGAATACAGGGCCAAAATAAAGGGCTCTGAATTGGTCTCACCTAGCTGGTGATACACTAAGGTTATCATTGACTTTGTTTTGAAATGCTGCCACTTACGGAGCACCTCATGCGAGACTTCATGATGCCCTCCAAGTGCATTTTCATTTAATCCACACAACCAATGTATGTGATCCGTGATCCATACAATTCTTGGCCCTAATTCACAGACGAGGGAACTGAGGCTCAGGGTGGTAAGTAGCTTACGCAAGGTCACACAGTTCATAGGTAACTGAGCCCTTATCTGAACCCAGGTGGCTGTGATTCCAAAGGCCATGTTCCTAACCTCTACCTACAATGGTGAACTTTGGAAGCTGAATTATTAGGTAAACCATAACCTTTTTTTTTAAAGAAAAAACTTCACTTCTAACCTTAGTTCTGAGTATAGTTTTCCTATCGGGAATTGTAAAAATCTTGTACACAGAACATGCAAATGTGGAAAGACCACATCTGATATTCTATTAGCTGAAATTCTCTATAAGCTGGCTAATTAGAAATCCTACATGAATTAAATAGGAACTGTAATGATGTTTTTGGAGCTCTGGAAGATTCTCAACTCTGGAGCCATCAAGGGAAGATTTAATTATGTTCAGTCTAGGTTTTGCATCAAGTACGCTTTACTCTACACGAATTATTCTAAACTTTACAAAACAAGCATCACAATTATAGTACCCTTGGATAATGAGGATAAACGAGGAACACAATTAGAGTGCCCACTAATAACAAGAATTCGTGAGGAATCAGAACACCTACTCATCTAGTAGGTTGAATAATAGTTCTCTTGGTAAGCTAATGCCTATCTATGGGGAGGCCTGGAATGTGAGAAAGCAGCGTTCTGCACTCAACACTGGTGTGCTGTCACAGCAAAATTTTGTCTGAGCCTGGGGGAGGGATCCCTTGCAGGTAGTTACTAAAGATTTCTAAATGTTACAGGGCAGCAGTGGTTTATGTAAGGAGGGAAAATATAACTGATTAAAAGCATGATGTTCACTGAGTTGATGGTCAGCAAATCCTGGACTATATGAATCGCTGAGTTTGATTTAGTCAACCATGGGGCCAGCCCATGTAATTTTCTGTGTATGGAGCCAACCATTTTACTGTCTCTGTAACAGGCCACCCTGCCAAACAGGGATGGGACCAGGGAGAGGTGAGTGAGGTGGCGCTAGGGCACACGTGGTACAAGGTGCTCACCCTCCCAAGTGAGTGCATCTTAGTTCTGGCCCTGTAATCAAAGGCCCACTCTGTAGTCTCCTGTTTCCTCTCCAAGGATGAGGTGGGTATAAAACAAACACCAGATACACCATGGCTTACCTCTGGTCAGGGAAGGAGAGTGACTAGAAAGGGGCATGAGAGAACTTTCTAGATGATGGAAATGCCCTACATGTTGACTGGGTTCTTGACTACAGACATGTATACATTTTTCAAAATTCATGAAAGTATATGTACACTTAAGATCTGTGCATGTTATTGACTGAAAGGTTGTGTCCCTCCCAAATTCTTAGGTTGAAATCTTAACCCCTATTGTGATGGTATTGGGAGGTGGGACCTTTGGGAGGTAATTAAGTCATGAGGGTGGAGTACTCATCAATGGGATTAGTGCCCTTGTAGGAAGACACATGAGAGAGCTCTACGTCTCTCTTTTCTCCATTACGTGGGATACGATGAGAAGAAGGCTGTCTGCAAACCAGGAAGTAGGCTCTCAACAGACACTGGATCTGCTGGCAACTTGATCCTGGACTTCCCACCCTCTAGAACTGTGAGAGATCATTGCTGTTTAAGCCACCTAGTTACTGTATTCTTGTTATAGCAGCCTGAACTAGGACAGTGCATTTTATTGCTTATGATTATACGTCAATAACAAAAGTAAATTAAAAAGCCCACTGGGCTATATCATAGCCTAATTTATTTCCCAACATTTGCTTTCAAAGATAAAAAAACATGATTTGAATTTCTTCCCTAAGAGGGATGCAGCTTAAGCCTGCACAGGCATGTAAGAAGGATGATTGGGCTGTGCTCACAGCCCAAGGCACCCCTCATGGACTTGTCCCCCAAGAGAGCTGCCTCCTCACTCCCCACCCACACCAGGTGCTGCAGCCTCTCCTCTGAACCCAGTAAAGCTCTGGGCATGTTCAGTCTTCTTTCAAATATCCTGTGAAAGGAACTTTTGAGCAGCAGGGAGCTTTCAATGGATATCCCTGGAGGGGACAAAAAGCAATCAGCTACTGTCTTCCCCCTGTATGATTCTCTGACTTATTTTCTTGCTTCATCCGAGTCCAGAGTTATTTACTGGGGTGGGCACACCTGATTTCAAATTCCAGTTCCATCAATTTACTAGCTAGATGATCTTGAGCAAATTAAACTCTCTTAGCCTTGGTCTTCCATAAGTAAAGATAATAAGACCAACTCCTGTAGGGTTGTTGGAGGTTTAAATGAGATGACATACATACAGCACTTAGCATGGTGCCTGGCACGCTGGAAGCACCCACTGAAATAACAGCCCTTCATATTCCTTCGTTTTGGTAATTTGGTAAGTAAAGACTATGAAAATACAGCTTCCTCGTCAAATTTCCCCCAGCAGCTTTGGCTATAGTCATGATCCCCTGAATGTGGACAGTACATCTGTGGGGTACAATTTCATACAACACGGTGTATCCTACACAGTGATGTGACAGAGGGCAGAGCTGGGACCAGCTGATGGAACATACCCCAAAATGCAGATTTTGCTCAATATTTAGAACTTTATAAAAATAGGAGCTGTCCAACAACAGACTGTGCTGGGTAAGGACGGAGACACGTGACATAGGGGTGTTGGAAGGGAGACCTGCCTGGAACAGAGGGTTGGAATAAATGTGTTATCAACTCCCCTCTGAGGTGCAAGCTCCAGTGTGGTCCTCCGGGCGCTCATCTTTCTTAGCGGTCTTCTTAACCCCCACTCCCACCCAAGGAATTTCTAATATAAGTCTCCCTTAGCACTTCCTGGCAAGCACAAAGCAAAATATATTTGGGTAGGTGGAAACTGTTCAGCAGCTCTCCCCAGTTCTAGGCAGAGAAGAATAATTGTGGATTTGCTGTATCACACACAGGGCTTAAAAAAAAAATCCCCCTTACAGACCCGCTCAATGCACATAGGAGGACTCTTGTTGACATTCCTCCATCAGTCTTGGATTCTGGTCTGGACCATTCAGGCCTCAGTTGATGGCCCAAGCTTAGGAAGGACCAGCATGAAATGAGCAGAATTCAAATCCTCCTTCTAAGTGAGCAAGCTCCCCTTATTCCCCAACTCCCCCCACCAAAAACACAACACACCCATGCAGGAGGAAACACATACACATGCTGCAAAGTACATGCACACACACCCACGCAGGGCACCCATCTGACCTGCTGGCTCAATAGGAGGCTGGGCCCTATTGAGAAAATGTGGGAATGTGGGAGCCGGGGCATTTTCTGAGGTTTGGCAAAGAAAAACAGGAATGCAACATGACTTGAGACATTGGAAACTTGCTACAAATCTCTTATACTGAACCAATCCTGCTAGCTGACTCAGGCTACAATCAATGTCTGCCTTTTGAAACTAATTATGTACCCTGTTTAGGATGTCTCACTTAAAATCAAGCTTGGTTAAATCGATCCTGCACAAAATAGATACCTTTATGAGATCTCAAGAAATCATCCTGATTCAGGAACTGGAGCATATTATTAATGTGTGACACAGATGCACATTTTTTTAAAGGCGAAACAGTGTGTGTGTGTGTGTGTGTGTGTGTGTGTGTGTGTGTGTGTGTGCGTGTGCGTGTGTGTGTGTTTTCCTGGTGTGTGTTTTCTGGCCGCACCGTGAGACGTGTGGGATCTTAGCTCCCTGACCAGGGATTGAACCCGTGCCCCTTGCATTGGAAGCGCAGAGTCTTAACCACTGGACACCAGGGAAGTCCGGGTGTGTATGATGAATTCCCCTGAGGTCGAATCAAGGCTCGCACTAGGGCAATGTTTAGATACCGATGATGACACTAAACAAAAGGCCAAACCCACAATCTCTAAAGACCAAAACATTATTGGGAAGTTATTGGTATAATTTAAGGAATAATTTGTGCCACAATCTACATCACTTGCAAGGCTGTTTTATGATAGACGCTCTACAAGTTAATTACGTAGAGATATTTTTAAAGTTTCCACTCATATACTAATTTCGGTTACTA